ATGCAAAAAACGCGTCTTCACACGGGCAGCCCGTGCGTTGGCCAATTATTTTTCCTACATTCCAAGAATATCATCCTATGGAATAGTCGGTGGGATCATGCGTTTTGTGCAACTCCGCCTACCGAACGATTGCTTGTTAATGTTGAAAAATAGTTAAAAATTTCATGCACCGGTACGTTAAAGCTAAATTTTCTAATCTCTCCTGAATCTCCTGAAATTTTCAGTCTCCTAACTTTTCTGGCTTCCGAGTTAATGATTTTTTTGCCAAAATTTTCACGGGGTTGTTGAAAATTTGCGGAGTTGCACGTGGGCCACGTTATAATTTCTTAGCTTTTGCAGTTCACGAGACAGTTTTCCTACAAAAGATTCATGAGGTCGTACGTGGTACTCAGTCGTGTGTGAAGGCTGAACCCACATTTACGGGGGTCGTACACTGGTAGGAGATATGGCCCCTAAAATTTCAGATTCCCAACTTTCGTGATTTCCGAGATAACAGTTTCCCCGCCAAATTTTTGTGGGGCCATAGGTGATGCCCGAGGACGCAGGGACGCTGAATTTGTTGCAAGGCCGCACGTGGACAGGGGATTATTACCCTAAAATTTCGGCTTCCTAGATCCGTGGTTCCCGTGGTAATAATTTAGTCCGCTAAAACTTTTATGAAGCCGCACATGTTACCAGCGAGTAGGGGAACGCTGAATTTGAGTTTTCTGGGTGCCGTGTGGATAGGGGATGTACCCACAAAATTTCAGCCTTCTAGCTTCCATGGTTCCCGGGGTAATAATTTTACCCGCTAAAACTTTTACGGGGCCGTATGTGTTACTCGCGGGTATGAGGAGGTTCAATTTAAATTTGCGGTCACACGTGGGCGGGGAACATCCTTCTAAATTTTCAGCTTCCTAGCTTTTATGTTTCCTGGGTTGAACGTTGCGGACACAAACATGCGCGGAAAACTCGTGACAATGTGCGTTTTGTGCAGCTGTTGCACGGCACAAAACCATAAAAAGCAAAAAATTTCAATTATTGAGGATGAAACATATCGATACCCTTGTTGGACGTCCAGTGACAGCCCCTGTGGCTTTCTCAGCTCCGGTGTTCTTACGCTACTAATAATCCTTTGTCGATATAATCCGTCAACATTTGCCACCGATATAGAAGCATATTTCGGACTGTCAGTCCAGCTCGTGAAGTACAATACTCCTGCTTCCGAATCCACTGCCAATCCATCACAGTTCGAGATTTCTAAAAGGAATTTTTATAAGAAACACAATCTGACCAAGACGACTCTTCAAAATTCCAGCGAATGGATGGATGCGTACTAAGATTCTAGTACGTTTTCGAATGCCTGTTTTCTGATGACTTTTTCGATAGAACGCTTAGTACAGCTTAGTGTGAGCGTAAACTGAGATTCCGCGTGAAGCTACGGCGCATATTCGGATTATAAAATCGGAATCCTCCTGCGGGTATCAGACAGGTTTGAAGACCGTAATTTTTCAATGAACTTGCTTGGTATTATGCGGCACTGAGGGCGGAATCAATTTTAATGTGCGCTTACGTCTCGAATACAGGCGTGTCAAATTTCAAGTGGTAAAATTTGCTTTTTGTAATTTGAGAACCAGGCCGCGAAGAAGGTTCTACTTTTTTGAGCAAGTTTACTGCCCACGTGCTATCCCGTAAAGCAAAATGTACTTCCACGAGCGTCGATGTCCCCGGGATAAACAACTCAAAGTTTCATTTGCAAAACCGCGCACATCTTCCTCTCACGGTAATCGGAAATGACAGAAGTTTGGTCACGAGTGCATTGTTCGTATAGCTGGCGACCTTACTGCTGTACAGTGCGACTCAAAAACGCACGATTCTTCCTCAAAAAATGCGTAAAATTGAGTGAATGAAAAGAAATAGATGAACAGGCAACCTTTCCAGACAACCGTCTTTTCGCCGCTCGTTCCGTTCAGGTAAACTTTTGTGACTGCATCTTTGACGTCATCAGACCAGAACACAGCTGTATTTTGATGATCAACAGCTATAGCTCGTATATTTTGAACATCTTTGCCAGTTATCACAGGGAATACTGCAGCATCGCTTCGAAGCGCATCATACACTCGGAGCGCCGTGCGCATAGCAATCACAGCAGTTTCATTCACTTCTAAAAAAAACGTTTTTCTAGTGTAAAATGATGCAACCCAATTAAAAGATTCTAAACTAGTGGAACAGTTTCAGTGGGTCCAGTCAAGATTTCTCCTTACTTATTAATAAACTTGGCCGACGTCCGGTTTCTACATTTAGACTGACCATTCTTGAACAATTAACCATCGCTAATGGCGTACAACTACCGCCTTTACAAAGGCCGCGTTTACCGCCTAGTGTTCTTGCATAAAAAAGTGCAATATAATGTGCAAATTTTACTGTTTTGTTCTCTCGTCGGATAAATCCTTAGCGTGCTTTGCTGCTAAATGTTGCTATGTTGTGACTGTGCAATGAAGAGGTTGCATACACCGCGATGGTAGCATTGAGAATACAGCAGTGAAGCAACGTCATTAGAGTCTGATAGGAATTCGAGCTGCGATGGCCTGTTTTTGATTAACTTTCCGCAGCGAAAAAGAAGGGACAAGGCTCTGTGCAAGACTAATAATTTAACAGTTAATTTCAAATTTTTTTATTTTCGTGCAACTTTAAAACCCATGATAGAACGCACCACGCTTGCCTGTGCGATCATGCGTTTTTGCATTAAATTCGCAGTTCGTATAGTAGGAATGACCTCTAGGTCGCAGCCTAACAGTTGGGCTCATATTGGCCGTGCTTTGGCCTCTTCCGACATGCAGGAGAAAGGGCGTCGGTTAGGATGAAGGTGTTGTATTATAGGGCTCATAGACTTCCAGGTACATTCCTACCAGTTTTTATGCGTTTTTTGCAGCAATGCAATGTGAAAAACGCATATTGACAAGAGGCTGTCTGTGTGTGTGTGTCTGTGCGCCTGTGTGTCTGTGTGTGTGTGTCTGTGCGTCTGTGTGTCTGTGCGTCTGTGTGTCTGTGTGTCCGTGTGTCCGTGTGTGCGTCTGTCACGGTTTTTCATCTCAAGACAAAAGCTACGGGGCTGAAATTTTGGAGACTTAATCTACATGCGCGTACGGGCCCCAACACCCAAAATTGGCGCCATACCCCGCGTGGTACCCGCGTACGGGCCTCCCAAAGTTTCTTCGAGTAAGTTCATAACTCGGAGATCTGAAAAGCTAGAAAGCTGAAATTTTAAGGGATTGTTTCCCGTCCAAGTAGGACTCAAATCCAGCCCCCGGGTAAGCGTGGTACCCGCGTACGGGCCCCCAAAATTTTTCCCGCGCAAATTCGTAACTCGGGGTTCTGAGATGCTAGAAAGCTGAAATTTTAGGGGAATGTCCTCAGTCCAACTAGGTATTAATGCACCCATACCCGTGGTACCCACGTGCGAGGCTGCCAAAATTTTTTTCGGGTAAGTCCATAACTCGGGAATCTGTGAAGCTAGAGAGCTGAAATCTTAGGGGTGTTCCCTTTCCAAGTGGGTATTAACGAGTTCAAACCCTGCCCGCGGGTAAGCGTGGTGCCTACGTACAGGCCGTGAAGGTTTCTTCCGGGTAAGTTACTTACTCGAGAAGCTAGAAGACTGCAATTTTGAG